ATCACCAAAGTACTGATCCTTCATGGATGCTGCCAAGATGTCAGGATCAATATCAGCGCTGATGCGCGAAAAATCATCCAAAATCACTGCATGAGTGTGTGCGCGAAAAGTGTTGCAGTCGTCAATGTCTAAGCAGCGACACGGAAACAGTGTATCGGGGGTCCATCTGCGTAGCCACTTGCGGTAGTTGTAGATCCGGTCTCCCAAGGTGGCACTGCGAGTCTCCACAACCCGGATCTTTGGAAGAAATACGGAAGGAAAGAGGTCACGGTGAGACGCCACCCAACTCTGCAACCATGTTCCAAGCTGAGCCTTCCAATTTCGAACGTGTTGGGGTGGAAGAAGTAGTTGTGTCCTGGTAGTTGGTACCTTTCGCATGACCTGGGCGAGAACTTCTGAGCCTTGGAGCGAAACGGCTCGTTGACGAAGGTGGAAAGCCGCAGGAAATAGTAGAGGGTGGAAGGAAAGGCCGCCGATAGTAGATCGCGCATAGTTTGAAACGACGCACCAGTGTTTGATCCAAGCCGAAAAAGAGTGGAGTAGCGTGCTTGAATGTTATCCAACATTTCCGGCCGCAGTTGACGATGAAGATCAGGATGTAGTCGTCGCCGAAAACGCTTGTGTAGAGACAATGAAGTGGGCGAGGACAACGAATGACGACGAAAATCAACCAGATGTTCACGGAAACCAATCTTCCGTAGAAGTCTGTGAGCCCAGGGAGCATTTAGATGAGGACGTAGCATGTACTGCCATTTGCTTTCCTGGATCCAAACTGAGGAGAGGGGAAGTTTGATCTCAACTGGAATTGTACAGAAAAGCCAGTAACTGTTGGACCGCTTCCAATAGTGACGCGCAGGTTCAAAGAAGGCATGTTGTCTTCGCAGAAGTTGTAGATATTTGCGGCAGCGAGAGTGCTCTCTGCGTAGAACATCCTGTTCAGTAGCACCAATGTAGTATGGACTATGCCATGGTGAAAGTCTGATGTAGACGCACGGTTGTTGATGGTGGCCCGGATCTTGAATGAAGTCACACAGGTCCGGGAAGCGAGTCCTGAGGGACCGAAGGTGTTTCATATCCGCGAAGGTGGAGTGCATGACTTCACCCAGCAATGACGTCTTGTAGGAGCGAAGGACCTCAAAGAACGGCGGAATGTACCCATGGTTTTGGGAAATAAGTCGCTGTAGAAAGCAAATCAGCAGATACGAAGTGATCCGACATCTGTGAAGCTCATACCTGTTGGCCACAGTGTGACGGGAGCGCGACATAGAATGCATCGGAATTTGAAGTGCAATCCGGACCATGGTGAGCACTTCAAGGATGAGGTCTAACTGAGGTAGATGCTGAATTGATTCATACTCATCCATAGGAACTGATGGTAATTGAAGTCCAGGAAAGCAGTACTGCCAACATGCCGAGAAAAACGCCAATGTGTCCAGAAAGGTAGCCAAGGAATTCCATTGTGCAACGTCCTCAAATGTCCCACTGTGTCGAAGTTCAGTCCACGTGATGAATGTCTAACCAAGAATAGCTACAAGGTGGCAGCGACATGCATTCAAGAGTCAACAAGTGACAAGCCACACACTAGACAAGAAAAGACAATCAACTCACAAGACAAGCCAAGGCCCAAGTCAAGCGCATACAAGTTTTCAACCGCTCATCACTTCGCCGCACAATCGCCACTCCGGGCTAATACTCGAAAAGCAGAAACATTTCACCCGGTGATTAGGCGGGCTGCCACGACGAGGAGGCGCAGCGCTTGGTCGTGTAGCCGGGTTCCAATCCCCACAAAGAGGCCATGGCCGCAAAAGTAGGTGCATCACCTTTTGGCAAACGTTGACGAGCCTGCAAGAGCTGGGCCGCCATAGGCTCCAGGGACTTGTTGCCGTTGAGACGGGACGAGTGATTGGCCCACTTGACCAGCGATGCCACAGTAGTAGTAGCAGTAGGAGCCTGCTTGAGGCACAAACGTGGTTGAGCACTGGTCCAGGTGTAGTGCTTGATGATGTCTTCCGGCGTGCTGTGCATGGTGAGCAGCTGAGGTGTGGATGGCTTGGAAGGCGGGGGCGACAGTCCGTGAAGAGATTGTATGATCCGAGGCTGCTGTTGGGATGGACCATCGAAC